TGTCTGTCTGTCTGTGGGCTACGCCTGCATGTTCCAAATGACTCTGCGTTTTAACCTTGTAGGGGTGCAGCCTCTTCTGGAATTCCTCCGATTTCAAAGTCTCACTCTGAAGCTCTTGAAAACGAGGGCAGTGCCGGAAAGGCAGGTACAGCAGCTGAGGACAGAAGAAGCATAAACCTCCGTTAGTCCGAAGCACTTCACCAAAGCAGCTGCGGCCACATTTGAGACATTAGGTGCAAAGAGATCTCAGTAAAAGATTCAGATGTGTTCTGAGCTGACTGGAAATCCTACAATTGAGGGGAAAGGGATACTGCAAGTCTTAAAAAGCAGGAGAGCCCAGCCGGGCGTGGCTCAGCGGCTGAGCGTCGACCTAGGACGATGCTCGGGGTTTGATTCGGGCGATCGGGGTTCGATTCCTGGTCGGGGCACAGGCCGGGGCTGCGGGCTCGATCCCCAGTCGGGGGCGTGCGGGGGGGCAGCCGGTCAGTGACTCTCTCATCATTGATGTTTCTCTCCCTCTCCCTTCCTCTTTCTGAAATCAATAAAGATATATATATATATGTATAGCAGGATATACACCCAGAACCGAAACCTCTTTCTGGTTTCATGAACTGGCCTAAGGGACTGTGCTGTTAATATGTGCTCGCACTTCCTGCTTTTCCATGTGAAATAATAACCGTTCCCTTTCTTTCTCTGCAGCCCCTTCTACGTCTAGGTGCTCACGAGTACCGAGAAATGAATTACAGGCTCCAGAAAGAGCCTTGAGAGATCACTTAACCATTCGTTGCCTTGATTTCTGCAAGTTCGCAGACTGTTAAATCAACAGGAAAGCCTATTACGAGGACATAGCTGTCATGCTAAAACGAGTTTAAATCCAACAACCTTTTGCAGCTTTTAACCCTACAGGTCGGTGCCTCCCCGGTTTGCCTTGCTGCTCGCTCTTCCCACCTGCGGCTGGTCCTGAACCTCAGCCCCCGGCGGGTATCGCTAAGCCTTGGGCGGGCCTCTTCTTTCTCAAAGTTTGCATTTGCAAAGCTGACCTCAACTTCCTCATTCTGAACCGTTTCTCTTCCACATCTCTCTACTTCTGCCAGTGGCAAAATACATCATCCCGACTCGCAGGCGCATTACTTTTGCTTGTCTGCTTTCAGAATATTTCCAGAACAGACCCCTTGTCTCTGTCTTCATTGTCCCTTTCCCGTCCAGGCCACCGTGGCCGGTGTTTCAGCCTCGGCGAGAGCTCCCGGTTTGGCCGGTTGGTGTCCACTCTCTGCCTTCACCTCTCACTCCCCAGGAGCAGCTCCACGAATCCCTCGTATTTTATTTTTGTAAACACCTGTCTTTTTCAAGCATCGGTCAGGTCATGTCACTCTGTGGTTTGTAACCTTCACGGGCTTCCGTCTCCAAACTCACAGTTAGCCCCTAGTTTCTGCTCTTCCCCACTGCTGTCCTGACTCCTCTCCGGCAGTGACCTCCTTACTGTCCCTTCAACACCCAGGCTTGAGGTCTCTGCAGATTGCTCCCTGCCCGAGACACTCCCCCACTGACTCCCACCCTAGATTTTCTAACCATCCCGCCCCAGCCACCACATTGCCTCGTTTTATTTCCTTCAGGGAGCTCATCGCCATCTGAAATTACTTCATTTATTTACTGCTTTATTACCTACTTCCTGTAAAATATAAACTCGAGGAAAGCCAGGATCTTGACTCTCTTGCTCACTGCTGTGGTGTCAGTGCCTGGAACAGGGCCTGGCACAGTAATAGCTACTGAGAAAACATTTTTTTTTATATACAAGCTGCTTCCTGCCTGTCATTTCTGAGTCTGGGTGTCACTTGTCTTACCTGTGATTCCTTCCCCTAACATCTTTACCATCTAATTTCAAGCCTTTGTTTCCTTACTGCCGGATTGCTTCCACTGTTAGTCTCAGAGGCTCAAGTATCTTTTCCTCCCAAGCCATTGTCAGACAAATGCCCCAGAGCACCACTCATCATGTGTGTGTGGCCCTGAAGAAGGTATACTTAAAAATTTTAATTAATTGTATTTTTCAGTCACAGTTGACATTCTGAAGAAGGAATACTTTTATGTCTACTTATTACTATTAAAAAATAACAATTCCTCTGAAAGGGTTTAAAGAGCCCTTGATGAGCCGCACCCATTATAAATAAACTTGAGAGTTTCTTTCAAAGCAGCTTGCTTTACAGCACTGGCTCTCAGACTTGGCTGTCCACTGGAATCATCCAGGGAGATTATTTTAAAAATACTGATGCTTGGATCCCAACCTCAGAGATTCTGATGTGTTATGGAGAGTGCCCTGGAGGAAATTGCTCTGGAATTGCCAGGTTCCAGTAGTCATGCTGAGCAGTGTGTGGCTTTGGGTCCATTCTGTTTAACTACTCTAAGCACTTAATTCCCTGGCTATCAAAGGAGATCTTTAATACTGTCCATTCAAGGTTGTTCTGAAAGGTAAATACAATGACGCATACATACTGAGTAGCAATTATATATTCAACTCTTTTTTTTTTTACTACCTAGAAATGGGAATTTTCGTGTGTGTGTGTGTGTGTGTGTGTGTGTGTGTGTGTGTAGACAGAGAAGGACCCATTGCCAAAAGTTGAAAGAGTGGCAAAAGAAAATAGGTAATAAAGATCCAAAGAGAAATTCTGTTCCTACTCTCTCTTGCCTTGGGCTTTCTATGTCCTACATTGTCCTTTGCACCTTAATTTAGGAAAGAATTAAGGCTGCATAGCCCAAGGAGAGTCCAGACTCCCAAACCTGCAAGTACTGAGCAACCCACCTTCCTCCTTCCAGGCCCAATAGAATCTCCTGGTTTTCCTGAATACTGACCTTATCTTCCAAAAGAGGGACTGTGTGCACTGGGATGGGCTGCCAGGGTAGTTTGGGATTCCAGATGCTGATACCTTCTGGGGGAAACAAGGCGGCCAGGTTTGTCATAGCGCTCATCAAAGTCCGGTCAATGTCTGTGCTTCGAATATAAACCTAGAGTGGGAAATCAAGGCAGAATCCAACTGAGAGGAACTGTGCTTTTCCCCTGCGCAGCTAATATCTGAGAAAGGACAGGATACCCACACCCAAGTATTAGCAGACATTGTGATAGCATCGTCGTCATAAGATCTATTATGGAAGGGACAGTATTATGAGCATCCCATGCTATAAAGCAACCTGCTATGCCAATACTTAAATTGACAAAGGAGACCAATTAAGTGGTGGTTACTTGCCACTACTTGCCAAGCTCAAGTATTTACTATAGGTGTCCATAAAATTTTGAACTTATTCATTTTCATAATCTTTTAGGAATAAAATATTTATATAAAGAGGAGTACATTTCTAAACAAGATATTTGAGTTGCAGAAGTTCCTTGGGAAACAGGCAAAATGCTTTGAGAAATGCAAAATTATGTTAAATTCTTTCAGAGGGACAAGGTTTCCACTTTCAGCCCCCCAACTTGCCTGTTGTTGTTTATAGGATTCATTCAAGAATTTTCCATATCTTTTCCTTATATACTCTCCAAGTTCATATTGCTGCTCCATGCCCAGCTAAGGAAAAAAATAAAAAGCAAAAATGACTGAAAGTAAGTTCTGTGGCTCTAAAACATACGCAACTCATCTCCCCTCATGCGATGAGCAGAGTGAACAGTGGTATATTTTAATAGTTCCACAATAACAACACGTCTTTAAATGAAAATAAGCAAAGAAAGCTGTAATTTTTAATCATGGCTTCCTGAGAAAACTCTTTACCTTCATTACCACTTAACATAGAGCCTTGCACAATTAATAGCTGGTGATGAGCCTGACTTATGTAAACGATCCATCTCTGGTGCAGTAGAACATTAAATGGTTGTCTCTGTTGGCAGAGCATTCAAAGGGCTGGTTGACCACTTAGGGGTTGGTGGAAGAAATTTAACCACCTGTTAAGAGGTTGGATTTGGTGAATCTGAAGATTATGTTCAACCTCTGGGTGCAATGTTTCATTGTTTGTACAGTTTACTTATGCCCGGCACATGAAAACCTAGAGCCTGTTCCTCAAAGTGCAGTCTGTGGATCCATAGTATTAGCATCTTTAGGAATGTTAGAAAACAAATTCCTGGGCCCCACCTACTTTGGGGATGAGCTCAGGAATCTGTTTTTAACAAGTTCATTAAGACTCTGATGGCCAGTAATCACTGAGAAGCATCACTTTAGCTCAATGATCCCCAAGCATTACTGTGCATCAGAAGCAAAATGTATCTCTGGGTACTTGTTGAAATGCAGATTCCTCAGCATTTACCCCAGAGATTCCTGCTCATTAAATCCTGGGTGTAGCCCTGGAACCTGCATTTTAACAAGTGCCCCGAATGATTCAGATCCATGTAGGAGAGCACCTTGCTTTGAGAAACACTGCATGCAGGTCTGTCTTTAATCCAGAGCTTCAGGAGTCAAAGAGGATGTGGTCACTATGGCTTCTGCTTGGTTCCACTCCCTCATTTGCTTGTCACTCCCGGCCACCACTATCATCACCACCCCTCTAGATGTGTGCTTTGAGGTTTACGAGTTTTCCGGATGACCTGGGTAGCTGAATAAGCTGATACTTTGGGTCTAGTCATTGTTCTAACTTAAAACTGACTTTTGAGAAAATAGTCATCTTCTATAGAGCAGTGGTTTTCAAACTTTACAGTGCACAAAATCACCTGGAGGACTCTAAAACAAAGGTTCCCAGGCTTCCACCCCAGGGTTTCTGCTTCAGTGGGTGGGGCTAAAGAATTTACAGTTCTATCAAGTTCCCAGGTGATGGTGACACTGCTCATCCATGGACCGCACTTTGAGAAGCACTGATCTAGAAAGCCATCACTTGTCCTTATGTAGATTGGAAGTACCTGGCCAAGGGCAAGATTTGAGCTCTAGAACCTTGCTACTTCAGGAGTGTCCATGTACCAACACCACTGGCATCACCTGCAAGTATGTTAAAAATGCAGAATCCCAGGTCCCATGTCAGACCTGCCGAATTAGAATCTGCATTTTAACAAGATCTCTAAATGATTGGTTTGCACGTGAAAGCTTGAGAAAATGCGGTAGGAGAATCTCTTAGGCAAAGAACACAGATCCCGCAGTCTGCAAGAATCTTTTGGTCTTACTGGAAAAACACAGCAAGGGAACAGGAGTCTATATAAAACCATGGTTATTAAGAAGCAGCCTTGAATTGTTGTAGCATCTTATTTAAGAAGCCACAAGCTGGGTAGGCTATGGTGGGAAGTGGTCTGACCTGGGAGCCAGAAGATGCTGGCCTGAAATAGCCTCTCTGAGTGTTCCTCCTTTATAAAACATTGTAGTTGAAGCAGGGCAGTAATTCTCAGCTTTGGCTGCACATTAGAATCAACTGATCAATTGAGGAGCTTCTAAATATTCCAATATCCAGGCCACACTCCAGACCAATTAAATAAGAATCTCCCAGGCAGACATCAATACTTTTTAAAGCTCTTCAAATAACTCCAATGTTTGGCCACAGTTAAGACCCATTAGTGTTGGAGATATCCAACTCTAAACACTCTTTGACATTTTCTTAATATATTTAAAGAGTGTTTTGATTAGAACAGAAGCAATATACCTGCCCTTACGGCTCCCAACAGAAGAGCCATCCATTCTTACAAGTGAAGGGTGTTGGGGGGCACTGGAGCAGAGGCTGCATTCGCCTTTGCTCCCCAGTTCCCCTTCTCCTCAGATGCTCCGTAGGAAGTGGGGCTTCCTGTGTATAAGTGACCACTTACAAGGGAGGCTCCATCCCAACATATCCAGCTGACAAGAAATCAAATTTGGTTACGGCACTTCCAGAAGAATCATGTTTCCCCAGCCCTGTTGATTACACTTATTGATTACGAGGTTATTTTCTACTTTCAGGGGTAGAGCCTGAGAAACTCAGGGGCTGGCTTGTAAGTATCTTTGGGCTCTCTGCTAAACTCCTGTATTCTTCTGTTGTTCATGCACATCTCTTATTCTTCAAGAAAACCCACAGGGTGAAAAAGACCCAAACAGACAATTCTATAGACTTTTCCTACAGTTACTAGTCACTAAGGGTGTCCTAGACAACATCAGAAATTAACTAGGATAACCATTAGTTCCTCTTGTTCCACAATCGAAACACATTTTAGACTTTCAAGATCCCAGGTAACTGTGCAAAATACTTTCCCAGATCTGTGTAACTAAAGTGGTTGTATAGTTTCAATGGGTTACAAACCCCACAACGTTTAGTTTCCCCTGGGACTTATCACCAACTATAGCTAAAAATCCAACCAACCTGAGTGAGTTGGCCAAATCCTTGTGGCCATGAGGACTCTTTAATGGGGTCATTAGGAAAGGTTCCAATGGGACTTCGGTCTCCATGCCTGAAAACCTGAAAATAGATTAAGACAGTAATGTTACAAATTTCACTTAGGTATTTTGACTCTGCTCGTCATAATAGATGTTTTTCTAAACCACTGGTTCCCGGCCTTGGCTGCTCATGAAATCACCTGGGGAGTTAAAATAAATTCTGAGGATGGACCCACCCCTAGTGATTTTCTTTTAATTAGTTAGGGACATGGTCAGGGCATCACATCAGGATTTTAAAAACCTCCCCGGGTAAATCTTAGGTTAAGAACCATGTTCGAAGATCACGAACACTCTTCCTTTGTTTCAGGCACTGCAAGAAACAAGATTATTAGCCACTGGGAGGCAGGCGATCCACACATGGAGACGGGTTTGTACACTGACTATGACGAGAAGGCACACAAAGCTTAGGAAGTTCACTTTATTGCAGGCAAACTCCGGTGAGAGTTATTCCCCCCTTAATTGTGGTTATAGTACTAATGGTGTTAAATTTTCACCTATAATAAAATAGTGGCTATTAAATGCTACAAAGAATTTGCAACCATTTTGAGCCAGTGATTCGTTAGTTTTTAAGAGGTTGGGGGTAAAGGAATTGCGGTGGGGAGATGAGAAAAGTGAATTCTCAATACTTTTAAGGACATACTTTGGATGTGATGACATGTCATGCTATTTCGATTGCCCATTTTACTTTCTGGGGAGAGCAGCCCGGACTTTTGAAAGCTTGGCTCTTTGATTTATAGTATGTTTCTGAGCAGTAGACCAAGCCAAGCACTAGGCTGTTTTATAAGCAAAAGAGGGGGGAAGAGAAACGCTCAAGAATTACAAGACGACATCTACACTGATGTTGGCAAACATTTCATTACATTACCCGAGATTTCCCGCCCTCCCCACTTACACCACCTAAGATGCTCCACTGAACAGAAAGCCGGGGGCTGCTCTTTTGAAATTCTGTAAAACAGTTCAGCAGACACTGAGTGAGAAACAGTCTCAAAACTTCAGCCGTCTTCGAGGTGGGATCTGGGACAGCGAGGGGGGCTCCAAGGCCTGGGCTGTGTCTTTGATGTCCGGAAAATACCAGATCTCTTGCCCCCCTCAACCAGTGATTTTTCATCCGGCGTGCTGTGACGCACAGGTGTGCCTCAAGAATTTTTAAAACATGCAGAAGCTGACTCTTCAGTCAGGGGCACTGACCTCTTAGGTCTTAGATTGTCAAATTAAAACAATGACAATAGCCAACACAACAATAGCTGTCTGGTGTGAATGAATCAAAGTTGTATCTTTTTTTTTGTCAGACTGACAACAAATCTATTATTTAGCAGAATCTTAGTCATTCGTTTATGTGTGCCATGCGGTGAGAAAGGTTGACAATCGCTTCCCTAAAGGAAAATCTCAGCAAACGGAGGGCTAGCGGTGCAGCGGGCCTTCAGCAGCCGCCTTGGCCAGGGGACGGTCCCTCGTGGCAGGAGGGAGGCGCACACTCTCTCCTGAGCGCCTGTAGTTATTTATTAGTCCCTGCGGGTGGCTTGGCCACGACCAGAGATGATTGAGGCTAACCATCGGTGCTTCCCTTTTCACAAGGGAAACGCACTTTAGACTTTTAGATCCCCGAATAGTACATGCAAAACACTTTGCCAGATCTGAGCAACTGAAGTTGTTATATGGTTTCAATAGATTAGAAACCCCACATTGTTGTTTCCAGGGTTTTTCAACCTCGGTCCTGTTGGCATTTGGTTTGGATAATTCCTTGTGAGGCGCTGTCCTGTGCCTTGTAGGATGTTTAGCAGCATCCCTGGCCTTTGCCCATGAGATACAAGTAGCATCCTCCAATTGTGACGACCAAAAAGGTCTCCAGACATTGCCAAGTGTCCCCTGGGGGGGCAAATCGCCCCCAGTTGGGAGCCACTGAGTTAGTTAAAGAGAAGTCAGATGAGATCATTTACAATGTTTCCCACCAGCCTGTAACCACAACAATAATTCCTCAACATTTTTTGAACTCTTGCTTTATCCTAGAAACCGGACTAAGAGCTTTCTATACATTTAATCCTTCCATCAATCCTACGAAGCAGCTATTCTCTTCAGTTCATAAACAAGGCAACTGACCTTAGTTAAGTGACCTGCCCAAGGCCACACAACGTGTAAGTGGTAGAGCCGAGATCCCAACGCAGGCCGTGCGTCCAACGCCAGCCTTCTCAGCCTCGTGTAAGAGGCTCATTTCTCTGCGGTCAAACACTCCCCTCAGCATCGAATCAGCTAAATGTGCACGATCTGGGATACGGGCTTCTTTATAAACTGTGCTCTTTTCCTCTAAGTTTGGAAGCTCTTTGTGCGTGAGTGTGTTGCATCAGAAGAAACCAAAACCTTGATGTTAACCCCAAATATTATTTAAAAAGTAAAACTGAGGTTATGCAGCCAAGTGACAGAATGGCCCGGGGAGAAAAAAGTGTGGTCCCCTTGGAGGAGTGTGTGTAAAACAGCAGAGCACTGGGACATGAGCAAGCTTTCTGACTGTTCTTATAGCTCAGAAATAGTTGTACTCCCCTACCTTTTAGTAGGTTTGAAGGGTTTGTGAACTCTTTGGATGGAGAGTTGCCCAGAAACACTTAATAAACCATCCTCCAACTCCAGTGCTGAAAATCAAAGTGTGTGCATGCACACACACACAAGTGGCATTCTTCAGCTTCTGGAGTTTGGCCAGTTCAGCTGGAGACCCTAGACTGCCTAGGTGCTCTTTTAAGTCTGTGGTAGGGCTCAAAACTTAACTGCTACTCTCCCAAATTTGTAGTCTCTGTTCTCAGTCTAGCAATCACACTTTATGAAATCCTTTAGAGACCTAAAAATATACTATTTGCAGTACTAGTGGTAATTATAATAGGAAGACATCCAAGATGACCCATCATGCCTGTGCAACCCTTCATGGTTTTGGACAGTCCTTTCCCTGCTATCTCTTAGGTTCTTACCACCCCCGTGAGGACAGGTCACACTATTGCTGTGCTGAGCAAGTAAGGAAACTGAGGCTCAGAGAGATCAAGTCAGCTGTCCAGATCTCTTAATTCTCACAGTTGCCAGCTCACTGTTTTCCCCTCCACATCACATTCATTTCGCTCTTTTAAATCACAGGTAACTTTTTTTAAAGAACCGCGGTGTGCTGCCCCCAGGAATGATCCTGCTCCATGGAGTCTGCTGAACAGATTCGGTGAGTTGCATTAGGACGTGGAGATCCTGATGAGTGCACTGGGGACACCATGTCCAGTCCCTCCCTCCATTCAGCAATCAGTTGCTTTAAAAAAAAGTCAATCAGAATATGTTACTTGATTGCTTAGAATCCTCTCATTCTGTTAAAACTTATTTGGCAGAAAATTGTAAAGATATTCAAAGGTAGAGATTTGTATGAGCCCCTCCCTATGAGTCCACCACTTGCTCCCAGAGTTGTCCAGTCGTGTGTGGCCAGTCTTGTTTCACATTTACCCTCTTTCTCTCAGGCATTATACCCTTTCCCATGGCTCTTTGCCTAAAATTCTAAGTCCTTACACTGGCTCACAAGATCCTATCTTATCTGGCCTGCACACCACGATGTTCTCACCTGACAATTTTGTTAAACATCATTGGCCACCCTGCCCTCCCAAGGGGCCATCTGATAAAATGAATTTGTTCCAGCCTCAGGGCGCTGGTGTCCTATCTGCCTTGAATGTCCTATTTCTGCTTCATCCCCTGGTGCACACATACACTTGGTCACTAAATTCAGGTTTGTCCTAAAAAAGGCAACCTCTGAAGAGAGGCCGACCTTGACCACCGGTTATAAAGTAATTCCTGCCCTGGACTAAATTAGATTCTAATAAAGCACCATGTTGTCCGTTCAGGTTTGGAATTCAAGACACATCACAAGTCTTTGGGGTGATTCTGGAAATCCTGAAAGGGACCTTGGCTCAGGGCGTGCAACCCCACTTACTAGGGTGCACCTCAAGGTGTGAAAATCCCTTGATGCACAACGCTTGCCATGAGTAAAAGACTATTTTCTTCTTTTAGGAACTGAGGATTAAGCCATTGGCAAAAAGAAGTAAAAAGTAAAAGGAATTTAGGCAGAAATAAATGAGTGAAATAAATGACTGCCGCTCTGAGAGAAGAAGGAAGCTGACTGGCTGTGAGCGGACTCGGGTGGGAATACATCCTGCGCTCAGTGAGGAAGGCAGAGGGCGGGCCACTCGGGAGGCTTTTCTCCAGGGCCCGGGAACAGGCAGAGGCCTGGGGGGGGGGGACTGTGTTCCCCTGTGTGGAAGCTGTGTAACATCCCAGGAAAGCTCTGGGCTTTCAGTTGGTTTGACCTGGGTTCAAACCCCTGCTTTGTTAATACCTAACTGGGTGATCCTGGCAAAATAATTTACTATTATCCCCATTTTACTGACGATGAAACTGAGGCACAGGCAGGTTAAGTTATTCATCGAAAGTCCCCCCGCGCTATAGTGTGCTGTGTAGCACGCAGTATTATACATTTCTCTGGTGTTTATGGCTCATATTCCTTTTTAAGAATTTCAGATATTGAATACCTCATATGTCCCCTATCTCCGCGGCATCATCCTCTTTCCAGCAACCGAGAGTAGAAACCTCAGGGTCATGGTGGTTTTTCTTTCTTCCCTACCACTCACATTCAGCCCACAGGGATTCTGCCTTCACAATTTTTTAAAGACATTCATTCTTTATTTTCCAGAAAGTCTACGGCTTTCTGGTCCAACTCAGGTCTTCACTGTGCTTTTCCTGAACTGTGGTCGCATCCTACTCTGTTCTCCCCTCCAGCGTTTTCCCCTCCTCAAGCCACACTTCAGGTGTGTCACCTCCAAGAGAAGATAAACTAGAATTCATAGGTGGGGAAGACTTGAGTACAAACCAGTCTGAGGTTCTAGTAGAGATAATTATCTAACACCTTATGTTCTCTTTTCTTTGTTCCCTTTCAGTTACACGTGTTTACTAAGTTTACTTATTAATTTTATAAAGTCAAATATAAAATTTTTATTTTATTACATTTATAAGCTCAAAAATAATAAAGGATTATCTAGAACCTTGAGAACATCATGCTAAGTAAAATAAGTAATTCACAAAAGGAGAAACACTGTACGATTTCGCTTATATGAAGTATACAGAGGAGTCAGATTCATGGTCAGAAAGCAGAATGGGGGTTGCCAGGGGCTGAGGGGAGGGGAGAGCGGGGAGTTACTGTTTAATGGATATGGAGTTTCAGTTTTGCAAGATGAAAAGAGTTCTGGAGTTGGATGGTTTTAATGGTAGCCCAACAATGTGAATACACCTAGTGCCACTGAACTGTACGGTTAAGAAGGTTAAGATGGAAACATTTTATGTTCTGTGTATCTACCGCAAATGAAAAAATAATAATTAAGAAACAGCTAGATTTTATCCAAAAAGTTGGAGAGCTTCTGTTTTAGGCTGATGACTTCTAATAGCACCTTACCTTTGTATCATGGTTCACACTTCCATGTGTACATCATGTCATTTGCACCTAAAGACAACTCTGAAATAGGGAGCATGGTTATGGTCACTATCCCCAACTTTAAGTTTGGGGGACTGAAGACTCAGCTGGATTAAGTGGCCTGTCCATGGTCTCATGCCTGGTAAGCGATGCTGGAACTTGAATTAATGAACATTTAATGTTTTCCTAGGTATGGCTTTCCACTTTTAGTTTAGCGCATGGCATTAGAAAATTCAGAACAGTCCTGGGCTGCCCACCTGAGGAGTAACCTGCCCATGTTTACTGTCCAGGGGCGGGAGGAGGAGCCCTGGAGGCTGCTGTCCCTGGAGAAGCGTGATGGCCCCAGCAGCCCTTGGATTTGCCCCACCACAGTGTGGAAGTTACCCATCCCATGTGGAGGTGAGGTGCTTAAGATTTGGAGGCTATTTTCTTCGAGGATATTCGTGAGTTGGGTAAGAACTTCACAAGGTTAACCATAAAGAATGGGAAGAGCTTGTACTCTGTGACTCATGAAACCTGGGTGGCGTGAAAAGGAGTTTTTATCTGTCGGAGAGCACCTGAATTTGTGGTTTTCCCCTTGCTTAGGGGCGAGAGAACGCTTTCACGTGGCATCTCCCCATTTATGGGTGGGACAATGATGGACGGGATGACAGTAGGAGTGTGGGCATATGGATGGAACAAGATTGGCCATGAGTGGTAATTATGGAAGCTGGTTGATGGGCACGTTGGGATTCACCATATTTATTCTGTCTATATAAATTTAAAAATAGCAATTCTCTAAGGATTTTCTATGGTATACTCTCTGGGAAAAAGGAGGTGGATTCCGTAGGTCAAATTTTAGGAAATACAATTTACGAAATCCTTTCCTGGGAAGCCACCGCACATACAAGATGTATTAAAGACTGTGAGGAGTCCTGCATTTAAGAGACCTTTAAACCCAGTTTAAACCATGTTCCATTTCCAAAGCTGACTTGACTGTTGAGACCCATTTTACCAAGTGATGTCTATCAACAACTCTCCCAACTAGCACTCGATGGGACACACTTTGGTGAACTTGTTTTAAAAGATTATGTGGTGACTCTGTTTATGAGGCAGAACAAGAACCAGGGACAGTTTCCTGCCCTTTCTGCCAAGAACAGCTTTTCAGCGTTGGGGGAGATTTATTTATTTTGGATCACAGAGGAAAAGCAAGAAAACCACCTGCTGATTATGAGGTAAGCCAGCACACCAAACGTCCTCAAGGAGATCTCAGCTCCAGGTGCTGGGTTTTACACACTCACCGGGAGGGAACATATTATCCAGCGATTCAGGGCATAGCCTCTGGGATCATACAGCCTGGGTGTGTGACCATGGACAAGATGCTTTATCTCTTAGTGCCTCAATTTTTTTCATCTATAAAATAGGGAGAGTGGTTGCCAGATTTAGCAAACAAGAATACAGGATGCCCAAACAGTGCACGGAACACACACTAAAATGTTATTGGCTGTTTATCTGAAATTCAAATTTAACTGGGCATCCTGTGTTTTCCTGGCAACACTACTTTATAGGATTGTTGGGAGGATTACGTGAAATAATCCATAATGAACTCTCAGAACAGTGCCTGTCACCTAGTAAGCACTCAGTTAACTAATGGTTATTGTTGTTAATATTACCACTTTAATCAGAGGCATCTTTCTTTTTTTCTGATTCTCCTGATAATTTTCTAAGGATTTCCCTGGGTATATAATGGAACCATTTATAGTCAAATATTCTCTATAATCAGTAGAAAGAAGAAAGTACTATCTTCTGGCTTAAGCCCTTGTATAGAAGTCGTTTTATAAGGGCCAAGAGAGGTGTATTAAGTTGCCCTTCATCTACCATTAATGGAAGGAAGCTGTGGTAGGAAAACTTGTTGACATTGGCCTTGTGTGATAATTTTTTTGTTGTTCTTTTGGGCTTTTGGGGGGCTCCAAGTGAGCTACATTTGCAAGGTTTTTCTTAGGGAAGAATTAACTTGGGCAGATGTTAACCAAGAGTGGAGGGGAAGAAAGGAAACCCATGACAGTCTGGTAGCCAAGGGACATTAGCCTGGGCTGTAGTGAAACATGGAGGTGAGACTCAACCATGTGCAGGTAACTGAGAGTTCACTGTAGTCCCTCAAAGATCACTGCTCAGCCAGCTTGTCACAGGGGTCCAGTGTTGCAGCTGCAACTTCTCTAGAGTCCCTACACTTGCTTCATGCACATGTTGGCAAGGAACCCACACATAGAATTAAAAGTCCAACTCTCATGGATTTCCCAATGCGAACTAAAAGTCTAACTTCCCATGGAAGGTACAGTACACAGTATTATACAGCTTTTTCAGCACAAAAGCCCGACAGCTGGTGAATCGTTTGTAAATAAATTGATGGTATATTTCTCTGGTTCTCTCACTGTTGACTTATGACCTCTAAGGATTTACTGGACTAAGAATCATGACTTGCATAAACACATGATTATGAACTTTTCTTGCAGAAGGAAAAGGGGTTCTGACTACACTAAGCTGACAAAATAGGAACTTCATGGTTAATTTTTAAATAAATTATAAAAATATAATAATTATAAAAATAAATTTTGAGTATTCTTACAGAAAGGAAATCTACTTATTTATCAGCATACTTTCACGATCAAATAAAAAAAATGCAAGACTGAGAAAGAGATCGAGAGAACCTGTGAAAGACAAGGAAATGGTCAGAGGCAGAGAGAGACAACGGGTGAAACAGAGATCCAGAGATAATCAAAGACACAAACAGAAACCAAGAGAGAGAAAAGGGTTAATTCCAGAACTCCTATGTAAAGTGGTAAATCCCCTTTACTTTGCACACTCTCTGTTTTTCAAACAATGCCAGCAGTGTATTTTCTTTCCCTGACAACAGGCATTAGGCGGCCCCCCTTCTTGTCATGACTTGTCACACTTAGGGTGGAGAGAAGCGTGACCTCAGTGGTCAACCAAACCTATGTAGGAGGAAGTCCTCCTGGAACGCTTGAGTTTATGTTCACTTTTATGCTTCAACCACTGTTATGTTTACAAATCCCAATTTCCTGATTCACAGAAGGGCTCCTTCACTCAGAAATGACTGTTTTTCAGTTGGCAAAGAAATAATCCTGAAACGGAACGAAGCCGGCTCAGGCCCTGGTACCCACCAGCCAGCCGTGGCTTCTCCCAGCCCGAGTGGCCGTCGGAAGGAACCTGCGGCCAAGGCAGTTGTGAAGACTGTGGGCAAATAAACAACATCGGCAACGGCAAACATGACCCAACCCAACACCTTTGCGTCGGGACACGTCAAAGGTTCACTCTCAGGAACTTGCGAAACCTGATTATTTACCCCCTGAGTTTGGTCCCCCCGAGACAACAGACGCAAGGGTAAAATGAAACCGGGCACTTGGTGCTCAGAGGCCTCTGGTCACAGTTTGGAGAGAAAAGCAAGGAGAAAACCCGACTCACCAGCGTGGAAAACTTCAGCTCCTTGGCTGCCACACCTTGGTGCAGCCAGAGCGCGAGCAGGAGCAGGACGCCAAGGGGAAGGCCGGCTGCCCGGGCCCCCGGGAGCGGGAGCGGGAGCGGGACGGCGCTCATGCTGGGCGAGCGGCTGCGGGCCTCGGAGCTGCTGCTTCCCCTGCAAAAGCCATTAGAGGGGAAGCTATTTAATCGCGGATTAGGGGGGAGGAGCGGGGAGGGGCCGGCTCCTAGCTCGTAAAACCTCCAGGTAGCTTGGGGCGGGGTTTGGCTTGGTCGGCTAATTTGGGGGCTGGGTGGTAGAGATCGTTTCTGGGCTGAAGCTGGAACAGGGGACCCAGGACGGGAGAGCTGTTGCTCAAGGTCGCAGAGCATGTCAGTGTGTTTCTTTTTGCATTTACCTTTATCTTTACTTTAGGTGGGGTGTGATACAGCGTCTGCTTTGTGGCTGTCACTTGGGAAAGGGATTTACCCCCATTTGGAAACCTCAGGCCAGTCATTATTTATCCTTTGGGGATCCGAAACGATAAGGAGTGAACTACGGGAGAAACTGCAGGTGTTATAGAATAAGAAGCTAGGAAAATTCCAGAGGAGGAACAGGAAAACTAAGATAGGTAAATAGCAGTTTACAGCCACCTAGGAAATAAATGGTTTGCACCTCTCCCCAGCCAAAGGGTGAATATCTTAAATCACCCAACTCAAGGAGGCAGATAACAGAAATTCAATTAAGTGTCATTTGCCAACCACACCCAAGGACAAATTAGGAGAATAAATCTCATTTTGGTACATCAGCATAAAGATGATGAATATTCTATTACCTGTCCCTAAGACCTCTCCTAAACCCCCAGCCTTTAAAACCCCTGAAAATGAAGGTCCCAGCGGCTCTCCCTCCCGGGAGCACCCCCCCCTTGCCATTCCCTTTCCCCTCGCCTTCCCCCACAGGCACGTGTCCCCTAATCCTTAGGGGACCCCATGAGACTTGCAACCAGGGGAGCAATGGGCAGTGGAAGCTCGTTGTAGGCTAACCCCCTGAACCTGTCTCCAAGGCCCCCTTTTCTTCCACTTCTCAGTGAGCCAAAGCTGCCCAGCCTGGGCTCTCCTATTGCTCCTTCTAGGCCCTTCCTTGTTTCACTGTCCTAAGTATGTTTTTGCTGCAATCAATAAATTCTTGCTTGCTTTTCTACACTTTGTCTCCTGATTGAAATAATTCCTTCAAAAAGACAAGAACCAAGGCCTTGTCGTCTCACCGGTAACACAGGTACTGGCATATTTGGGGCCTATTACCCAGGCCAAACATAGCTCCGTTTTCTAAAACTCTCATATAGCTGATAGAGGTATTCCTAAGTTGCATAAAAGTAAAAGCAATTTTATTTTGAAAATATTTAGGCACACGTGAAGGTGTTTTGGGTTCACCTGTGCTATCTCAAAATTAGGGTTAAAAGTTTCTTTCCTAACATGACACAGTCCAACAACAACAAACTAACCTACCACTCTTCATTGTTGGTCACCAACTTTGGCCATGAGCCTTACATTCTGGGTGAGTCACACCCTTGGCTCTCCAGCCATGACCTCATCGGGGACACTATGGAAGAGGCTAATCTGGACTAAGGAAACTTAGCTTTCCATTTTTCTCATCCTGTCAGCCCCAATCATAGGCTAAGACGGGGTTTTCACGCGGAGCTCTTGTCCCAATGCTTCCAGCCCCTCAGCAGCAGGAGAGCAATGCTTTTCCCCACAACCTGTTCTCTGTGACAAGAGGGTGCTGTTGTTAGTGATCATAGGATGCCCCAGAATGTGGCGTGTGGGAGAGCTGTTGCTTCTTCCTGTGTGGGGAAATATATGTGAAGCATGGATGCATGTCTGGTTAGGGTTAGACATTTAAGGGGACTTGTGACCCTCTCTTTGCCATGACTCTCTCCACCTGCCAGTCTCCACTGTCATTTTTAATAGGTGAGATTTTGAGGAGATGTGTGCAGGCAAAAGGGGCTGTCCAGGGCAGAGGTGAGGTTGCCACACTGATCCCCACTGTGTGCCCAAGCGACCTGAGAAAGGAAGGTCCAGCACCTGCTTAGGGTTCACGGGCTTAGTTCCAAATCATGTGCCTTACATTGTACAAGACACCCGATTCTGTCCCATGTCTTATCTTCTCAGGGATCAGCCCGGCTCCTTGTTCTCTGATCTTCCCTGTCTCACCCGCTGACTGATGTCTGACACTAATCCGACTACAGCTTTAGTGCTTCCTGATGATCACTCTGGGTCTGTGGCCTGCCTGGGCCATGTTGCGCTAGGCTGGATAAGCTCTACTTCTGACCCAGGCCCTACTTACTTTCTCCATGTCACCTCCGCTGGGCTCCTTTCAGCCCTTCAAGTAAGAACAACAGCAACAACGTGTTATAGAGAGAACCAGAAAAAAGCTGCTTGAATTTAACACATCTCAATTCAAACTTAATTCAAGTGGGAATAAGTGGGTGGTTTATATTTCTCTCTCAGTCGCCATCCAAACTCCTACTTTGAGCATCAAATCCTAGGGGGAGCCCGGCCGGGTGTGGCTCAGTGGTTGAGCGTCGACCTAGGATCCAGGCGATTGGGGTTCGATTCCTGGTCAGGGCACATGCCTGGGTTACAGGCTCAATCAATGACTCTCTTATCACTGATGTTTCTATCTCTCTCCCTCTCCCTCTCCTTTCCTCTTTCTGAAATCAATAAAGATATATATTTTTTAAAAAATCGTAAGGGGAGGAAAATCAGAAATGCAAATCTGCCACCATGAAGTGGAGCTTGAATATCCTTAACTCAGATAAAACCTATTTTGGTCTCTTGAATCTTGCATTCACAAGGCCTTTGTAAAGACTTAGAGTCACCTGGAGTAAACACAAGGATATGGTAGCATTGAACATGAGAATTAAAAAAATATTGAGAAGTCTTTACAGGCATTCCACTGAAGGTGTCAGTCATTTTATAGTCAATGATTAGCAGAACTTACTGCCTGAATTATCTTTATTTCCTTGTGATATTTCTTTCATTTTATGTCAAGTGTTCAACCTTCAATTAGTACAGTGTTAGGAAGTTCAATAAGTGGAGTAGATTGTGTCCATCGAAAAGCAAACTCCTAGATGGAGATTTGCATGTAGGAGACTTATTAGGGAGTGCTCTCAGGATCAGCAATAGTGAGGGGAAGAGAAATAGTAGGGTTGAGAAGCCTCCACTGATCCTGCTCGGAGTTCTAACGCTTGGATGGCTTTCTGGAGTTGTTCTGAATTGGGGTGAAGGGACAAGGCCTTTTTACCCCTGCATTAGCCAGTCACTGGATGCAGGCTGCTCCTGGCAGGGAGTTTGACTATGGGTAAGGTGGCTCCGCTCTGCCATGGCAATTCTCAAAGCAGCTGATAGCTGAGTGATATCAGACAACAAATTCCCAAGAGCTGGGAAGAATGAATTCTTCAGCTCATGAAGGGAGACCTCGTGTAACGCAAAATCATGACAATGAACAAATATTTATTTGGAAGGAAATAATTCATGATTTTTGGTAGATCTACGGCTATCAAAGTACTGAGTGTGCCTCTGATAGCAAGAGACTGGGTTGGAGTTGAAATCCATTAATAGGTATATTGGTTGTTCATCAGGTAGAAAGCCTATGTTAAAACTCTGACTTGCTACATCTTCACAATTATAGTATTTGGCTTTCAGTGCAATATGGACTTTGGGCACTCAATAATATTGATTAACAGTCAATATAAAGGCAAATTATTGCATTAGAACCTTGTTACAATGTTAGCTGCTTTGAGGCAAATTTAAGATAAGAACTTTTAGAGTAAAAGTTCTCCCTTCAACCAGTCATTTTGTGTGGTGTGTGTGTGTGTGTGTGTGTGTCTATTTACCCTTGGCATAAAATGACTATTATTTAATATTTAGACAAGCATCCCCCATATCACCAATGACTATGTTATTGAAGTATCATAAAAGTAAGCTATAACTGAGATAATCTTTCCTGTACCTATTTAACTATAACACATGTAATGATCACCTGGGAAGCTTAATAAAATACAGATTACCAGGCCTTACTCCCAGAAATTCCAGTTCAGGAGGTTCAGACAAGATCAGTAGCAGTGTCCTGCCAAGCCTTATTAGAGCATGAAGTGAAAGGAAAAATCAGTAATACTGATCCTGTCTTTATTTAAAATTTTGATATTTAAAAAATGATACTGTTTTACATTACTTTTTGTTTTTATTGATTGAGATGGATGGATGGATACGAGAGAGGGAGAGAGAGAAAGAAACAGAGAGAAACATTGGTTGCCTCCTGTACACTCCCCAACTGGGGATCTAACCTGCAACCTAGGTATAAACCTTGACTGGGACTTGAACCCAAAACCTTTTAGGACAATGCTCCAACCAACCGAAACACTTGGTCAGGCGCAAGTAATATTTTAGTGTGTTCCATGCAATGTTTGGGCATCCTGTATTCCTGTTTGCTAAATCTGGCAACCACTCTCCCTGTTTTATAGATGAAAAAAATTGAGGCACTAAGAGGTTAAACAACTTGTCCATGGTCACACACCCAGGCTGTATGATCCCAGAGGCTATGCCCTGAATCACTGGACAATATGTTCCCTCCCGGTGGGTGCATAAAACCCAGCACCTGGAGCTGAAATCACCCCATGGAGCTTTGGCGTGTTGGCTTGGCTCATGATCAGCAGGTGGTTTTCTTGCTTTTCCTCTGTGATCCAAAACAAAAAAATCTCCCCCAACTCTGCTGGAGACTTGGGAACATGGAGAAGTGTGGGAGGAGATGAGGTCAGAGAGGTGAGAAGGTGTCCAATCACACCTTGATTGGCGAGGATATTGGGCTTATTCTAAACGCAGTGGGGAGACAAATGAGGAATTTTAATTGAGGAATGGAGATGTGTTAAAAATTACCACGGCTACTTGTCAAGAAAGGATTCCAGAGCAAAGGAGGGAGGGAAGAGAACAGCCAAGGGCCTGTGGCATGGGCACGGGTAGTTTGGATCAGCGTGGACCTAGGGGAGGTGGAAAAAAATATGGAAAAACACATATTTGGAAGGAAGAGCTGCTCAGTCTTGGAAACGAGGTGTGAGGGGCAGGGGACACCCAGGCGGACT